CTCACTACAAGACAGACATTGAGGTGCTGGAGTGTGTCCAGAGAAGAGCAGCAAAGCTGGTGAGGGGTCTGGAGCACAAATCTGATGAGGAGCAGCTGAGGGAACTGGGGTTGTTTAACCTGGAGAAGAGGAGACTGAGGGGAAACCTTATCACCCTCTATAACTGCCTGACAGGAGGGTGTAACAAGGTGGGTGTTGGTCTCTTCTCCCAAGTAACAAGCAATAGGACAAGAGGAAACAGCCTCAAGCTGTAACAGGGGAGATTTAGATTGGATACTAGGAAAAGTTTCTTTACTGAAAGTGTTGTAAAGCATTGGAACGGGCTGCCCAGGGAAATGGTGGAGTCACCATCCCTGGAGGTATTTAAAAGGCATGTAGATGTGGTGCTACTTGGCAGTTGTAGTTAATGGTTGGACTCAATGATCTTAAAGGTCCTTTCCAACCTAAATGATTCCATGATTCTATAAATCACTGCCTCTTGTCAATCAAAGACTGCAAGTACCACACCATATGGCTTAACGGACTTAGTTCCAAAATCTTCCAGCAGATGTCCTCACAAGGCAGTCGTGTCAGAGAGGTTAGAGATGTTACCATTTAAAAAAGACAGATGGCAATGAAAATAGATTTAAATTCAGGGTGATATAAATATATAGATAGACGAATTCAAAGTATTTAATTTATTCTCAAGTGCCAAACTTAAAACCATAAACATGTTAAAAAAAAATAAGGTTGTGATCTTAAAACCTAAAAAAAATAAATCACAACCCACTAAAAAAACCCACGTGTTTTGAGTAGCACATCTGTTTCAATTTTGTTAAGTAATTCTTATATCTCAGTTATAAACAAAACAAGAGGTTAAAAAAAAGATGGTGAAAAGCACAAGTTTCACATGGAAAGCACAAAGACTCTATTCCTGTCCTTCTCTCTTCCATTTCATGTGAAAACTGATGCTAATTTTGTTGCGTGCACAGAGCTGATGTGCAGCTTTCTGCACTACTCCCTAGTCGCAACGACATAAAAATGTTGCCATGAAGTTGGTATTCTTGGAAGCATAAAATCCCTCGGGTATTTCAGTGAGACTTAAAAAGAACAATTTCCTTAAAATAGTGATCCTCATCATTACTGCTACAAGTGGGAAGTTTTGATACCACGTTAAAAATATTTGACTTGTCCTTCTATGTAGTGAGTAATGCATCTACTGTCATCTACCCGCAGACACCTATGAGATAATGATTCAGTCAGGTACTGGTCTAAAAACTCAAAGCTGGGATTCTTTACCCAGGCCTATGAGACCAGTATCTCCAGCCCTCAATTTGTTACCTGCTCTAACGCAGATGTTTATGGCTTCATATATGAGAAGCCATATCAGAAAAGGATGAAATCAAGATGATAAACATCACTAACTCTTCTTCAAGAGCAGACACAGAAGTAAGTGCCAATACTTGGGGCTTATTGGGAGACCAGCCAACTGGGACACGTCAGTCACCTCAGTTTGGCTCATGGAAAGAACTCTAAACTGTCCCAGCTTCAGAAAAATGCTGGGAGTGTGGCTTCAATAGCTAGGACAGACTTGTCTGCCAGAGGTTCTTTGATGGACCCGTTACGGCACTTAAAGACAGAATGCGTTCTTATGTTCTACATGCTGAATTAGGTCAAAGCTAGTATCATCAATTATAGAAACAGATTGCTTATGAAATCTTAGAGGAGTAGGGTATTTGTCAGTGTCTTGTCTAAAGCTTCAATAGCATGGGTGACTGGTTTTCTGCAGGCTGACTGTCTTCAATTTCAACAATGAACGTAAAAACAAGAAGATTTTTAGCTTAGTCAGTGAATGACCATGGTGAACAATACAGAACTGTTACATTTCTTAACTAGTCAATGCTTTCATGCCATAAAAGCATCAGATAAAGCACATTCAGCACTTAGTTTGTCCTGAGAAGAATCCAAGTTGCATAACCTGAAAAGCATGGTAAATACAGTATTAAAGCTATTAAACTTTCTCAGCTTAACTAAGGTTCTCTTCAGCTATCACAAAAAATAATTATAAAAATCTCTTTAACCTTTTTGTTGTGCTTTACTTAAAAAAAAAAAAAAGCACTTCTGTGAAATCAAGATTTCAATTTACAGTATCATAGGACAAATACAAATGAAAGATGATGGCTGGGGGCAGCTACAGTCTATTGTTAACCATTTAAGATTACTTCTCAAGCTGTCTGTCTTAGTCTTGAATCTTAAGCCCCTCACCCTTCAGCCATACGATAAGGAATATCGAATTACAGTCCAAGCAGAGGCTAACTCTACTGTTTCCAAATAAAGACTTCTTATGGGAACAAATACACAGCTCAAACAAAACAATAAAAGATTCTGAAGCAATCCTAATTGTAACCATAGCTCTGGTTTCATTATGTAAACATATTCCAGTCAAATCTTTACAAACTACGTCAACAAATCATGATTTCCCCCTCTTTCCCCAGGAAAACTGCACAAGGATAACTGTACACATGTCCAAGAAATAGAGGATGTCATTTTATTGGAGGTCCACAGGTAATTGTATCACATTAGGGAGTGGAAGAATCTCGTGGTATGGCACAACACAATACCTCACTCTAAGCACTTAAACAGAAGGTTAAATGATATGCAACATGATCAAATCAGTAATTCTCCATCTCCTAGGCACCACTGATTAATTTAAAATAAAATTTAATAACTTGAAAAAATAATATAGTCCAATAATTTGTTTGTTGCACTGTCTTTAAATGAAACAGCACTTTGAAAGTCACAAATAAAAAAGCAGCACTTTCTCTTAATACCAACACCACTGTAACACATACTGTAGCGTGGCATGCAAATCCATATCTGCAGTCTTTTTTTTTTTTGTATTAACAAATGGAATGGTAATTTCCTATCTCAAATATTAGTAGCATAACATGTAAGTGCAGATCATTCTGGCCACAAGTGTGGTAAGCCTTAACGAGTGTGTATTACAAGAGCATAGAACACAGAGCATGACACTTACATCCAAGAATCTCTCTCTTTTATACTGTACATGGTGTTTGTTACAGGCTGAATTCCAACTTGCTGTACCCAAGCTTCAGGAAACAAGATTATTGACCGTTTCTGGTTTTGCTTAAAAATAAAATGCAGTCACCATCAAAGCATAACCATTAACAACCTGGTCAAAAAAATGCCATAGCTCCATTGAAAAAATAACTTGTCTTTTTAGTAGACTCCATTACGCGATAAAGCTTCCATTATAGGCATGTTACGAAGTCTTACAGTGGTACTGCAGTGTCATTCCTGTTAAGTAGAGATTTGTATAGACACCAAGAAATGGTGCAATGTTCAAAAAAGCTGTTCAAACCGAGCTAAGCTTCACAAGACCACGTACTGAGTCTTCATGCAATGAATCCTGGCTGGCTAGACTCAGGACGTGCATTGTATGGCTGTGTGTAATAGGACTTCCACTTGGCAGCATCCCAGGAGGTGATGGAGCTTCTTCAGGAGTGAGAAATTGATGACCTTCATGCTCCTCTTTTAATGGTATCATGTCTGTCAAACCTGTATCTGATGTGAGATTTGGCATAGAAGATGGTGGTGTTGGTTGCCCTAGAGTTAGAGTTGCACAAGGCCCACTGATAGCAGTCTTTCCTGGTAAAGGCAGCTCTTCACTAGTTATGCTTGGCTCACTCTGTAGTAGGGGGGTGGCAGCAGCCTGCAAAACGAATTTAGTGCTCTGAATGCACTGATCTTGGTCACACTGTAGAATGGAAGGGTGTCAAAATCATAAGGCAAACAAAACAGAGGAAAAATAAAGGAGAATATGGACAAAATGTATGGAAAAGAATGGGATGTGAAGAGAAAAAAAAGAAAGCCATTAGTATCATTCCATGGTTAGCCACCCAAAAATCCCATTGCATGCTGCCCGGAAAAAAAAAAAAGCGTGCAAAGTGCTTTGGATTACCATCAAAGTAAATTATGATAAACATTTACAGTGTTCACTTAAGGATTTTGGTAACCTCTAAAACAGTGTTTTGTGGGTGCTGTAATTCAAATGCTTTGGTTATTCTTTTTCAAAGCCATTTGGAAAGCCTAGCTGCACAGTCTGTGTGTAACTAACTGCATTGGGTACCTCAAAACCTCCCTGATTCCAGGTAAGGTGAAGCACTCCCACACTATTAATTTTACCCTAGAGTAGCTAGCAGTTCATAGAGAGGCCCAGAGACATAATCCAAGCATCTTTCCAAGTTCAAAAACACTAGGCAAGCATCCTTTTTTTAATTGGTCTTCATGTCTTGGAATTAAGGTGCTACAGAAGTTTTCCAGAAGAATTCCTTTGATGCAGATGGTTTTATAAAGATATAGCTGGCAATACAGCCTCTATGAGCAAAAACTTCCCTCCCTCCCAATTTAATAGATTATAACACACTCTAGAGAATATACTACACTATACTTAATACTCTATAGGATGTGCAGAAATTAGGTAGAACCGCAGATGCATTAATTAGTTATCAACTTTCATGATTTTTAGGCTGTTTCTTGATTAGTTTAATCTTGACAATGAGAACAATAAAGGTACAAAACACAAATTTTCTGGCATGCACTTTTACAATAACAAGCCAAATTCAGTATTATATAAATCCAGTTAAGCTCAGTGAGTATTACCAGGAACACTTTTGGCTCTACATCATTCCTAAGAACCGTTTACACAAAATTATCATTCATTCCTTGAGATGACAAGACAACAGGTAAGTCATCCAGCTAGCTAAGTGGGTAGCAGACCTCCTGCCAAATTAAGTTTCTTTAACACAAACTGGCACAATTTTTGAGAGCTTCCAAGGATAATATTTACTTGATTCATAGCCTGATCAGTTATAACATCTGCAGATTTTCAAAATCCTGTTAGACTCATTTGCCATACTACTGTTCTGCTGTGCAAGAGAAACAATGAGTCAAACAGTAACTCCAATAAGCAGAACTGTAACTTCAATGCAGCAAAGAAAATTTGGAAGCAAGCAAGCAGAACAAAAAAATAATAATAATAAAAAAAAATATATATATATCCAGAGGTAAGACATGCCTTTTCACTGTTGCTATTTCAAGGATTCTGGTAAAGCAGTATGTTCTGCTTTACAACTGACTTCTTTCATCTACATCAGATTACTGAGAGACATTACAAACCCAAAATCTGTTCAAGATATTCCCAATCATAACCACTGCTACTAACATTACATCAATTCCCTAAAATGCCCATTTGAGTTTAATAAGCCACCATGATATACTCTATATAAACTCTATGTGAACTCCCTTTACTGTATGATGAAAACCATCACTATGAATGCTTCCTCTGATATTTTCAGGTCCTCCAATCCCATGACCGAATAGCTTAATGATGGATGCGCACACATTACATTCAGAAAGCGTGCAAGCAGACTACTTGGTCACAGTAAATAGGTAGTATTTTAAACGCATCTAAGTGGTTTAGGACTCCCAGACCAGCTACTTTTTGACAGGCAGAAGTCCAATCCTTACTCTGTTACGTATTTTCCAACACTTATGCTTTCAGAAATATAAATGCACTTACTTCCTATTGCATAAATTGAATTCACATACGCAGCAGGCAATTTCTTCCCTGTGAAACGATGAACAGCCCCAGCCAAACAACTGAAGTGGTCCCATATCATTTCAGAGGGAATTCTCACAGGCTTAAAGCCAAAACCTTGCATAAGTACCTTACTAAGAAGAAAACCATTAGCATCTTTTAAAGTCAAGCTTTCAATTAGTAATTGAGTGTGAATAACTCATTCTTGATTAATATACTATTGTTCACGCCTGGTTATTTCAATTAAACTATAGCCCTTCAACCAGCCTTACTATGCAGACCTTAAAGATCTGTTAACTGAATTTTCAAACTTCAAAAAGACCAACAAAATCCATCTTCTCTGAAAAGCAGTAGCCAAAGAGCATGTTAAATAGCAAAGGAATGCCTATAACCACTGGGGTACGTTGAAAACAAATAATGTTAGCAGCTGACTTACTGCTTTAGTGAAGCTTCAGCACTGATCTTCAAAAGGAAATCATTAATGTGTTCAGGCAAAACAAGTACACAGTTTTAAATTAGCTGAAGGTAATATACTGGTTGTATAGTCTGAATTAATTTTCTTCTTACTGAACTCTAGTGTATTTCAACTGAATCAATATCCAAAAGATCAAGTAGCCTTACAAAACTCCATTAAACAGAGTGTTATAAAACTTTTTCAGGTGCTGTATCTCTCTTCATTTGCCATGCACTTTCCTGAAGCCTCTTCTCTTATTCAGATACATTTCAGGTTTCTTTTTTTGTTCTATTTAACAGTGATCAACATGAAATTTCTTAGGAAAACACAGGCTGTAAACAGCTTTCAAAAGTGATTAGAGTGAGGTTTATACTAGAAAAGATAGATGCATTCAATGCAGCTCTCAAAAACATCTGACAAAACCCACATATACTACACAGGTAGACTATTCTTGAGTCTAAATGGCCAGCACAAAACTAAACAAGGGAATCAAATTTGTTTATAGGGCTGGCATGGTGTTTTTTTCTTGATTCCCTATTTCACTCTTAACTAAGTGAAATTTAGGGCCAAAAGTCTTAACAGCTATTAATCACATGAATTATTCAATGCCAGCATTTCAGATAGAATAAAAAAGCCTATGATTGTGACAAAAAGGAAGCCAAACACTGAAATCTAAATAGCTAAAAATCTACTGTAGAAATTATTCCACCAGTACCTTCTTACCTCAGATCTACTCATTTTGTTTTCCACTTACAATTTCCACTGTTTCAGAAGAACAGCAGATTCTGAAGGTAAGACAAGCTTAAGTTCTACAAGTACAGAAGTTCAATTATATATGTGCATAGATTTTTTTTTAGCCATCTCTGTATTTATTTCCACATCAAAAGGCACAAATTAAAGCAAATTAGACAAAACCTAAAATTCTGTGTTTATTTCACAAATAAATACAAGCAACTAAGGAAACAATATTTTTTATTTTTTTTCCCTGAAGAAAGTCTGATTTTTTTCTAAGCTACACACAACATACATGCTAACACAGCTGTTGTACATGGCAATACATTTTCCACATTTCTAATGCCAAAGCCAGATATTATTTACGCTGAATTTAAAATTAACTTTGTTAAAAATTTTCTAAACTCTGGGAACATTAAAGAATTGTTATGGTTCTCAGTAGATGGAGAAAAGAAGGTTGAATTATCTCTCAGCATCTCTGAATAAAGTACAAACAACAAAAAGTTCAGAGAAGACTGGCAGCACTGAATGACAGTGCCATGAAGTAACAGAAAGTATGCTGAAATGCCATCCTAGATGGATACAATAGATGGGTAAAGAGCGGAGGGATGGAGCTCTGTAACTCTTCCCTACAGCTGTAGGATTTCACATTCAGCATCATGGCATTGCAGATATTGTGCGACAACTGAGCCACAAAACCCAAGTTGTCAATGGCTCCACTAGCAAGTAGTACAGTGCACCAGGAGATGTATAACGAGAAATGCTTCTGAAGCCAAAGGGGAAACTATAACTGTTCCAGGGATTTTACTTCAGACTAGCTACTGTTTGTTCTTATGGACTGAATGTCCATGAGTAGTTACAGCACGTTGGCTGCATTCCATGAGTACATCTGAAAGAAATCTAGTTCATGTGCTCTGATACTGCTCTGCAATGTGAACGAAAATGTAGTAAATACGCACAATCAAAAGAATTGCTTCTAAAACATACCTCAATCCAAAGCAAAACGCTGAAGATGATTTACTGCATGTGCCCTTAACCCATTTTAACTGTGAAGTAAAATGCTTTAATGAAAATCCTGTGTCAACCTTGACTGTAGTAATGCTGACTTGTTAAAAGCCCTAAGTTCCTTTTTGGGCAATGATAAATTATATTTGTGAAGTATGACAGTAAATATACAAGAAAACACACTCTTAAATCTCCCACCAAAGTGGGGCTCCTATTCTTGCTGATCCTTGTACTGCCATGGTAGAAATACTTACTCCTAATAATGAGAATATGCAAAGCAAAGGAGAAAGTATGCTAGGTCAGGTAAAGTTCCCTGAATCAGCCGGATTTCTGTTTCCAGATCAGTGCTAGAAATACTAATGTGAACATTTGAGAGAGGACTTTGCTGCACGTCTCACTGGTAATGAATGTTGCACATACACTATTATGGTTCCTATAATTTTTAGTGGTACGTATAAGTAAGAAAAACTCTAACTAAAGAATTTGCATCCAGGAAAGGAAAGGGAGTACTGGAAATTAGGGAATTTGGCACACAAGTAAACTACCGAAGCACTGAAATAAGAGTGCCTAGAATGCCGGAGTACAGGTGAATTTCTTAAAACCAAAGAAATAAACCTGTCCCAAGATAGAGGCAGATAGAAGTAAAATCTATCACTTTATAAGGCATTAAGAGAATTCCTAGAGACATCATAGTAAAAATAAAGCAAATTAATTCCTCTAAAAAAGTGCATGGAGTCAGATGGATTCTGTGTTTCTTCATAATGGGTTACTAAAGAATAAAATACCCTATATTAAAACCCAAGAATGAACTCAGGCTTTTAAGAGAAAGCTAAATACTACAGAAGTACAGATCCAGGTAATGGTAGCTGGTAGGTTTATGGTGAAATAAGAACTTTTTTTCAGAGTAGAAAGAAAATAAACCTTAAAATGAAAGAGAAAGAAAGAATAAAATAGAGAAAATTATGATTTCATAATGGGTGTGATACTGTGTTTCATGCAAAAAAAAATTTAAGAATGAGAAAGGAAATACTTGGGCAATCACACTAATGAAAAACTTTTTAAAATAATCAGCAATAAAATGCAATAGGGAAATGCTTTGGAAAGATCAGATCTACAGATCATTAGCTTCAAGTGATCATGCTTGTCACTTGGATAAGGATATTAAGAAGCTGACTAATGAATTTACCAGATTAATTTCAAACTATATGTGAAAAGAGATTAAAAACACTGGGAATGTACAAGGAAAATAATTATGTGCTTCCAGCCTTCAAAAAAGTAAATAAAATTCCAGCTTTTAGTAAAATAAGAGAGATACTAAGGAAAGAACAGGAGAAAAAGCTCTTTTATAAAGATCTGGGGGGGGTGGGGAGGCAATCACAGTATGGGTCTATGAAGCACTCATTATAGCAACTACCCTGGCTTTCTGAGATTGTGACAAACTGAGTCATTAGCACAAGTAGGGTAGCTCCTACATGAAACATTCAAAGTCTCAAAGGCAAAATTACCACAAAAGCTGTTACATACAAAAGCAGTGCCCCACAAATGGTAACCTGAATAAGAGATAATGTATTGCACTGAAAACAAGTGTCTGGCAAGTTTAAACTTAGCCTAATAATTTATTTTGAGGTTGAATGAAAAATGATGCTATGCTAAAAGATGTATTAAAATAAATAAAAGCAGAATATAATATTAAGCAACCTCGAGAGATTTAAAGAATGACCAGACGGTAATTGGGTGAGGCACAAGAATCCTATTTAGAAAGACACAAGCCACTGAGTAAAAGATTTGAGGGAAGGGAAGAGAAGGAAAGGAAAGAGGGATGGGAAAGAATAAGAGAAGACAAGTGTGATATAGAAGATCCTCATTAACATCTTCCTTTAATATCAATGGGCAGGAGACACATTTTAGCACACTATGTGGATTAAGTAGTATAGCATCTAGACATTAAGATTCAATGTATAGATAAGATGATGCAATGCATTCTGGTATAAAATCCAGGGAGACAGACCATAAAGGTGTACTAGAACACACTTCAGATTTCTAATAAATTATTTCCTGTACTCAAAAGAGTTAAACTTGTTAACACAGTATAATTACCTCTGATGATGTATAAATGGCTAAACCTCTACTGTTTAAAAAGTATTTATGGACTAAGACTATGATCTACACACGCTCTTAAGTCTGTCCTTATCTGAAACCATAATAAAACAAGCTGCAGTACTAGATACATCCCCTTCAAATGAGCCAGTTATTTGTGGCCCACCTGCCTCAGCTCCAAGAAAGCGTTTTCCATTTTATGCCTCTGTCTTTTTTTCCAAGAGGTATGCAATGTTGCAGAAGGGAAGACTGAATCATATTCCATCTTTTGCCTAACCTTTGTCAGTGAAGACGTGAGGTAAAAAGGAAACCTTTTCTTCCACAAAGACTTCTCTATTATTTTGCTTCCACTGGAGTCTTGGGCTTGAGCTAGTCTGTAATTTAAGCCATCAATCGCCAAAGGAAATTTTGATGTTTGCACCTGAACTTCTAGCAAGAGGGATTCTAGAGAGTCTTGCAGAGATTCCTCCTCTAAAAAAAAAAAAAAAAAAAAAAAAAAAAAAAAAAAAAAAAAAAACCAAACTCAAAAAACCCAACAGGATGCTGCATGCCTTGTTACGCTTCTGCCATAAAGTGTACTCTGCTGCCTTTCACTCAAGAAGCTTCAGCAGTCTTTTTCAGGGGAGAACAAGTGAATGGCCGGTGTTCCTAATGCTCCTGTTCACAAACTTCTTCAGAAGAGTCTAAGACTGCGTAATGGGAAGAAAGCTGAGAGAAACAGATACTGTAAAGCCTGGAAAAGTACTAGGGGTCACTTCATGGGAAAAATGTTTAACTAGAATGATGAAGCTTTACTTGAGTATTTCTGTCAAAATTTAAATCATAACAGGAAATCTTGTACAGAATGGCTGAAAACAACTAAGCTAGCAGTAAGGTGAATTAACTTTGGTAGGAAAAAAAGTCAGTCTGTTATGTGGATGAGATTGAGATCTTAACTGAAATAGGGAAATCAGTTTTGTTGTTTGCTGCTTTATGAGATAGGAGAGATGGGAACCTGAAAGTAGGTACAATCTACTGAGAAGAGCAAAAATGTTGACCCTAGAACACAGAAAAAAGGGAAATGCGAAACAAGAACAATCAGAGGCAAAGTTATGTCCCTGTGCATTGTTGCCAGCAGGAAATGAATTTATAATTTCTTATTGCTTCATGCAATTCAGGAAAGAATGCAAGACTTTAAATAGGGAGGGAAAATAGTGCTAGAGAGACTGAGAAACTAGGCAGGTCTTTAACAGTTTGCAACAAAACTCAAGGGAGAAATTTTAATGCTGATGGCCAGCTGCCACTAGAAACCAGTTGGTCTTGGATACAGACCAGGAATAATACCCTGAGAAAAACAGCATCACAGTCTTAAAGATATTCCTCCATACCAAACACAACCTATTACATTTTTCAAGCTTTTTCTGAGAGATCATTTTCAGGAATGAAAGCTGTGCATTTCCAAGTGACTCCGATAACTGTTAAAGAACCCAAGCCTTTCCCAGCTTGAATAGTGTGATGTTCTAGGATGTAAGTTCAAATCTGTGAAGAATTTGCATATTTACAGGTATTACACTCTAAAATCATAATAGCTATGTTTGACTTAAAGTAATACCATAACAGATTTCTCCATTTCCAGAGACAATTTAGTCAATTTTCTATTAAACTGGCAAAATATTTCCTCATTAATAACTAGTAATAATTATAATAATGATTGTGTCTTCTTACAATGCAAGTAATAATGTTATGATATAATGTTATGAAGTATAATGTTATGATAATTTAATGCCAAGGACTTAGTGTGGTTTAATTTTCCTCACAAATAAGAAGTCTTGACAGAGTCAGAAAGGTTGGGTAATTCCTGAAAGACCTCATGATATTTCTAAGGTTTGCTTTTTTTTTTTTTTTTTTTTTTTTTTTTAACACCCCTTTTCTCTTTTCCAAGTTACATTTTTTTGAGTAAAATTTTCATGGAGCATTACCTTGTTCTGTACAACTGCCCCTCACAGAAGATTCATAGTTAATACTGTGTCTTTAATACATTTTCTTACTAAGGAGACTAACAAATCTTCTATTTAATCCTCAAAATAATAAGTAAAAACAGCTTAGGAACTACAGCAAAACTTTTATACCAGTTTATCAGTGACACTAAAACTAATCTGTCTGGGAACAATGAGTCTTTTCTTCTCTCGTTCAAAAGAAAGGCTGAATTACGTCAGAAGGCCTTGTGGCCTCCTCTTTTTTGGCAGAGGGAGGGTGTCCATAACTCATGGCTTCTTTGATAAAGTCTTAGAACCCACATAATATGAAGATATGTGGATAACAATACAGAAATAGGCACATATGTAAGATGCTTGCCTTTGCAAAAAGATCTCTTTCCAGTTATTCTCTTCTTCTTGGCACTGGAAATCCTATCTTCCATTATGATAGCCAATGCTACCAGCAAAAAACAAAGTAAAAACTATTGGCACAGTTTCAAAGATGTTTAAAAGCTTTTGTCGTAACAATCCAGTTGCCATTTTTTGTTCATTGGAAGTTCAGTGTCCTCCTGCTCTTTCTTCAACATACTTCTCCCCTAGAAACTCCTCTTTGTTCATCTTTGCTTTTTAAAACACTGTAGTCTATGCAAAACCGTAGTGTACAAGCAAAGAAGGAAATAGAGAATGAAGAAAGTGCCATACAAAATAACAATTAGCTGGAAAATGATGAACCAGAGCAAGTCCATGATACTTGAATGTTCAAAACACAGCAGGTGTCAACAGTACAAGTCAAAATGCCAGTATATTCAATAAATCAACAGTGCAGAAAAGCCTCTCTTTTTTTTAGAATCCACAAGTAATAACTATTACACTGTGTGAAACATATATCAAAAAGAGCCTTGGGTTTTTTTCTTTACTGTTAATAAACAAGTCATTCCACCCAGAGTGTCAGCTGTATCCAGTTAGTTATTACTTGATTAGTTCACATGAAAGTGGAGAAGGAAAACATTCACAGGAATCTTGATGAACAACACTATGGGATGATTCCTACCATGTTGCTCTGTGATTGTGTGGCCCCATACATAGTAATGCCATTTGATGGTCCTGCTAATTGCGGTGTATCTGGTTGTATAAATCCTCTTCTGTCAATTAGGCTACAGAATAATCAAATAAAGAAAAAGTGTTAGAGAGATTTCAGATCATTAACCACCTCCTTTCGATGAAAGGAAATAGAAAATTTTTCTATCATATAACAGACCTTAATACCTCGCCAATACCTTCAAATGTCCCCTTTTATTCAACTGAAGTAGGAGACTTCATTTCTACTCATCAGCAAGGTAACTGTTTCCTTATAATACTACCCGCCACATAGTCACATGTACTGCTACTTTTCTGGATTTTTATCATAGACAAAAGATTTGGAAGCTTACCAGCAGATACCATAAACCCCAAGAATTTTAAACCATAGGTATGAAAACAAATTACAAAACTCACTAATGCACTTTGAATCATTATCTATTTTGAAGGTTCTTTTGTTATCAGTTTCCACATCTCAATTAAAGCTACTTAATCACAAAAATTTAGAAAGAGGAAATTTTGTTCAGACAACTTACTTACCAGGTGTTTCATGACAGATACTTAACACTACTTATGGTAAGAATAGTGGAGCACTAAAGTGATGCCGTGATAAAATTTCTTATTTCCATCTAAGAAAGTGTTTTGTGGAGAAATTAATAAGTAAAAAAAAACCCCTACATGAGATGATTAAAAAAAAAAAAAATAGAATGGAATAATCTGACCTAGCTAAAGATTTTGCTAAAATTCCACATACAATTTTACTCTCCATTTGAGAACTATAAAACTCACTTAGGTTCTGCTAGTTAGTACTCATAAAAAACTGAATGTACAGACTGAATTACTGTATTCTACAGGTGTAGTAGCTCATATCACTTCCATACAAAAAACTACAAAAACTTTTCAACTGTTTATGCTTCAATTCATTCAAAGTTGTTTTTTTTTCTTTTTAAATTATATGTAGCTTTCAATTATAGTTCCATGTATTTTTAATCATAGGCCACAATCTTTTTTTTTTTTTTCCTGTGACCTGAGCAATGTTACTTCCCATCTGGAAAACGACAAATTTTACCACAGGATATCAAATTTTTACGGGAGGGTTTAGAGGAATGCCTCAAGACACTTGAAAGTTAAAGCAAGCACAGAACTGGTTTTATTTGCTAATTTATGGGATATCCAAATTCACTAAGGGTCACGATGGCTTCAATTTTAAAAGATAAGAACAGGATGCATAGAAAAATCTTAGGTATTTCCCTTCTCAAATGTCAATGAGGTTTCCACTGCCTGAAGACCAGTTTAAGCTCTCCTCATGAAGGTCTGCATAACAGGTTTTTATGTACATTCAAAACACTTAGAAATCCACCTGAGATTACAACCTCACATGTGGAAAGCACTGTTTCAAAAATCAGATGCTTAAAATGTTATATGATTTATTGTATCAGAACACTAGTTAGACTATGCTGACAGCCATGAATCAACTTGAGATTTGAAAGTTACTGTTGAGGACATGTAAAATTAATTCTGAATTTTTTTAAAAAAAGAGAAACAAGGTCTTTTAACAGAAGTGAGAAAAGTTTGGATTATTTACAGACCCTCTCTTAATTTGTATTCCATTCTCAAAGGCACTTGAACATTTTGAATTTTAAGCTCTAAGTGCTGCTAAACCACATTACCAGAATTTCAGGAAAAAAATTTATATTTAGTGACTTGGAACAGAGCTGAGATTAAAAGTCAAAAAAAGCAAGGTTAGAATTTACATTTTACAATCAGTCAATTTTTACTGTTGGTCACAAAATATCTCCCCGAGAAACTCTAGATATATTTTGGCATCTATATAAGTTATGTTGCTACATGGAATTTAGGAAAGAATGTACAACCTCTGTTAAAACATAGGAGCCAATTCCAGTCTGGTCTAATTGTGTGCTGCTACTTGTATCAGCATTATGTAATTTTAATAAAGATTTCCATTTGGAGTCAAACAAAAGAATTTGAAGCACGGCACTGAGTTTTTATGTTGCATACTTTTATGAAAAACAAAATGGCAGAATTAAAGAGTTGGCTTTAGGCACCGTCCATATAGGCAGGAAGCAGAGACAGGGTTACTCTTTCTCACCACAGCGATTACAGTTAACCCAGCACGTGGAAATCTTAACTCAGTTGTCTCCTCCCTAGGAAAAGATGTCAGTCTCTCCTGTTGACCTTCAACTGCTCGTAGAAGAACCACCTCTGATATTCATAATAGCAAAGACACAAAGCCCACTTCCAATGAAACACCTTAGCTACTGGACTATAAAGTAATTTACTTACTTTCTTCTCCATAGTTCAGATTCATAACTACATAATTCCAGACAAAGCAAAACAGCTTCAACCCCTGAGTATGCCACAAAAATATTCTAGATGTCAGCCACGCTCTACAGGGGAACTGGGCCTCTGTTGTACATGTAGTATGTCAACTATCTAACCGCTGAGCATTGGAATAAGAAGCGAATTAAGGCTTTCCAGCTGCCATTTTTTTCGTCTAGTCTCAGCTCTGTATTATATTTTGTTCAAGCTGAAAAACCATCTGCAACCTTGAATATACAAATATTTTGTATTTCAAAAGTGAAAACATATGCAGCAAAAGTTAATCCATTAAGCTTTCTCTGGAATTGCTTTGGTATAAGACCACTAAATTCAGCTTAATGTATTTATGTTAACAGTAGTATAAATAAAGAAAAATTACTGAACATTTAAATAAAACTGTTCAGAGTGAAAAGACAAAAATGAACAATTATCAAACTATAGTTGTAAAATTAAGCTTCCTAAACTCTCCTAAACTCATGTCACATTTGTTAGAGATGTAAGAGTTTAATAAACTTCCAAATCTCCCATCATGCAACAGCTAACTACTAGAATCCTTTTCCGGCTAGGTATTAACTGCAGTGGCAAAAATTCAAACAACAGAAACAAGTTTATTTTCATTTCAGATGTCAACCCTAAATATATTTTACAGGATCTGATCACTAACTTTGTTTACCTACTATTTACCAACTCATCACCTTACTATTGAAGAAAAACTTAGTTAAAGCTTCTAACAGACAGTAAACCAAAGCTTTATTTTTGTTGAGTAAACTCAAGAAATCAGAAAGAATATTTTTTTCATCAATAAGCATGTGGCTTCATTTACACTAACAATATTTTTGATACTCTTACCTTGGAGAAAGGGGCCCACAGAGTGCAGCACAGCAATTAGTAAAGATGTTGCCATAACTGTATGGATTATAGTTTTCTTTACCTCTTTTATTTGACCATGATCCTTTAATCTGAAGAGATATGAACAAGATGCATCACATGTAATACACACAGAAAATGGCTGAGACAAATTAAGGCTTACCAAAGCAGCGCCATGCTACTTACATCAGAGGCAGACCAGAGAAAACCCACAATCACACTTTCCAAACAGCTTAGAGCTTTGGGCTGTTATGTAAGATTTTAGCTTCTAGCCATTCAAGCAAGCGCATGCTTTACCTCCATAGATTTAGACAACCCAAAACCTCAAAGGATCAATATACTCAGAATAGGAATTTCAGCATCTAAACATAATGGTCTAAGCTTATTTTTTTTTCAAATATTATGGCATGTTCTACAGAAGAGGTTCAATTACAACATACCATTAAAGCCAGCAACAGAGCACTTCTTTTCCATGCTCCTGGGTAAGTTCTCAAGCTGTGCAATACCACACAACATTATCTTCCCTAAAGTTCACAAATGACTCTAAAATATTATGAAGCAACTGCAGTCATTACTATCTTTTAGCACATATTACATTTTCTTTTAGCTAGTCTTGCTTTTCTGTTTGTGAGATAATTGAGAGCCTCAGTAAAATGTCTTACTGTACTCAACTGGAAATGTATGCTTTAAATGAAATTACTGAAGCGTTTACTTGAAATGCAGAGATGGTATGCTGCTGCAGTTCCTTGCTATCCGACTTCCAACAATCCAAAGGAGACATCTATTTGAGGGAAGGGGGGATAGTGGAAGCACGCTGGGTCTATCTAGAGAGACGATGTTGGCCTAAACCTAGTAACTGAGGAATACCAGAGAATCTCATCTGTCTTACTAATGAGGTAGATTTCTTCAATGTCAGGCTACTTGCTCTGAGACTCGATGCTGAGGCACAAGTCATTCTGAGCCTGCTTGGCAAGTATTTTTCTGGTTGATTGGTATTTATTGCAAAACGTATAGTTGTAACTGTGACCTTAAACAATAACAAAACATATGTTTGACAGTCCCAAAGATGCTACACTGACATTTTCCAGATACTTACGAAACAAGCCACAATGGAAAATTACAATCAAATAATTTTAAGCTTACAGTAATTTGTCAGATTACTTGCTAAATTCCAACAAGCCTTCTATACCATTAGCTACCTAGCTATTTTTATTTTCTCCTTTCATTCATTTTGTATTTCTCCTTTTAGTTAGGGGAGGACACATGAAGCCTCCACACACAGTTAAACATAATTTCATACCAAAACAGTGGAAACCTAGGCGCAAAATAGGACAACTGTAGCAATTAGAAAGTTGACCTTTAAATTAATGATATACTCCCTTGCCAGAGGTTTTAGACCTCAGACTGGCAAAGAAATTTCAAAGGAAAAATAAAGGATGAAATTTTTGTTTTGAGAATTCAGTACACTTTTCAAATTTTACAGTAAGTAATTTTTGAGTCAAAGAATATTTAGGACTCCCAGTGAACAAGAGATACTGAAAATTATTTACTAATTTCCTACTGTATAAAATATACCCGTCTCTTCTCTTCTATATTTTCCTATTTCAAGATACAGGTCCTGTGGGTGTAAATCACAATGGACACACTATGTAACCAGCACATTCTCAAGCCACAACAAACACAGTCCAAAAGACCTCTTCTGATATTTTGAATTAAGCATGACTAGGTTACTTCCTTCTTTCCTGCTG